GGGTGCATGGGGGTTCAGCAACACAAGGACAGAGGGAGGATGGCTAAGTGGGGGTACACACACATGGGGAGAGGGAGGTGCCGGGACACACTGGGATAGGGGCAGATGTGCCTGAGTGGAAGAGGCTAGGGGTCAGGCAGGGGTTGCATAGGGGAAGCTCCCCCACTCCCTAACAATCCTCCTCCCCCGCCCCACAGAAAGTTCCCTGCTTCTCCTATCCACACCCAACCACCCTCCAGGTTCAGGCTCAGGCTCCTTCCTAGCAATTACTTCCCTCTTCCGCAGCTCCTCCATTATCCCCAACTCCCCCAAGCCTTTGCACTGCTTCTGAGGGGTGCAGGAAATAAGTTTCTGTATTGTACTTTAAATGAATTATTACTCAGAGTTCTGTATTAATATGCCTAGTAAAGAACCTTATTTGACAGAAAACATTTGTTGACTTTTTTTGTCTGCATTGTTATATACTTGCTGACAAGTATTTTGAAATAATTTCCCAACATAATTGAAACGGGCATGATTATAGTGTGTTAATTTAACAAATAAAATATGCAGAATTTTAAAATACCATGAGCAGAATTTTTAATTTTGGGGCACAAAATTCCCCCAACCACAAACCTTGCACTTGGGGGTACTGTCCTGCTACAATATGGCTTCCTGCTGCCTCATGGGGAAAAGTGTCAGTGTCCCTTCCTCCTAAGTACATTTGGATTGGAGCCACTGCACCGTAGGATATCTGCCCCAAGTTGCGTAAATGCAATGATCCACAACCACCATATCTTAGGCCAGAACAAACAAATCATGTGGATGCACTCTTTCACTAGTTATTCTGCATTTGTTTATGTAGAACCCCCCCCCCACAAAAAAAACCCCACCACCCCCTGTGGAACAATCTTCTCTTGCTTCGGCAGCTGAGCTTGTAAATTCAGGACACCAAATAGCTGCACAAGCACCTGTGCACACACATCATATTTTCAGTGTATAGATAATAGAAAATGTTAAGCTAGTGCACATTTTTAGTCTTGCATTTTCAAATATTTATACTTTATTTTAAAAATAATCAGCTAGGCTGTACTGTTGGTTAACTTGCATACCACAATTTTAAACTCTGAAGTTCAGGCATTTTGGTTATCAGGAAGAGGTACACTGAGTACTGGTTGGCAAAGAGAAAATGTTTTTTGGTTTTGTTTGTTTTTCCCAACTACACACTGCACAAGCTTTTTACTCTACATTCTCAGGACAGGGAGCAGGAGCTGTAACTTAAAATAGAACAAAAAACAGTCAACTTCAAGCAGTTCTCAGTTCTACCAACACTTCTGCACATGGTTAACTTTACAAATAGGAGCAGACCCTCTGAGGTGAATGGGAATACTCTCACACAATGTTAAAGCATGTGCTCGAGTGTTGCAGAATATTGAGAAATTTCAATCCAAATCTTGTGTAAAGCTGTAGTATGTTAAAACAAGGGGTAGAATAGCAACTGTTTTGCAGTCTTAAAGATAATGTTACTAATTTTTGAGCAACTGGGCTTGGGCCATTTTTGGTACTTAGGACATAAAGATCTAACTTTTGTTCTGCTTTTAAAAAAATCTTAGCTACTGGGAATGTTAACACCAGGCTCTGCTGTTTTTTGCTCTTGAACATAGCGCGGGCTCTGAAGATATGTATCAGGGCCTTGCACCTCAACTGAAAGGGCAGGAGGCATTGAATCTTTTAAGACATCCGTTATGTAAAATGCTTATCACTGACTTTACAAATGTCAGTGATAAGTATTTAAAAAAGTTCCCCTCTCACTTCCTTACCTTTCACACCTTTGGCCCCTTTTGATGAAATTTCACACAAAACCTGAATTTCTAATTTAAAAATGAGGGGGAAAAATACAACTTATTTTCAGCTCTTTATATATCATAAACCAGTAAAAAAAGTGTACTAGACAAGACTTTTAGTGATCACTCAACTATTGTAGTCACAATCAGCAAGCTATGTCTTACATACTAACAGCCAAATCTTGTTTGAAAGTATTTAAAGGAAACAATACACGAAATTTGAGTTTTAAGCCTTCTGAAGAAGTTGCTTAATCTGCTCACATGTACCCCACTGTAAATGTGTTAGATTGGATATTTGCATCAGAAAGGCTCTTCTATTATATTAATAGTATTCCTTTTGATGAAAAAAGAGCAAACTAATACAAACCTTTTAAAATAAGTTTAATTGACCTACCTAATAATTATAAAATTTATTTTATGCAAGAAGGTGGAAAATTCTAAAAGTGATCAAACATGCCTAATTAAACTTCTATTGTAGTATATGCAGGAATATTTTCTTTTATTTTAGATGTCAATTCCAATTATCTTTTAAAGCTCTAGAACAATTTCTTGAAGGCGTGTTGAACTTTGATGACACATTTCACATTTATGGATGTGATATATTGTATAACGTAAGAAACTCAAGACCACAATAAACCGAGTACAAAAAAACCCCCAACTATTAGATAGGCACTTTGAAGTCAGCTACTCTCTATATATAGCTCACAGTTAATGCTGCTTGTGTGCAGTCATAGTTCATCAAAGGGTACTAAATAATAGAGCTAATAGCCCTTTGATGCACAAGCACAAACATTAGGTTCCAAATACTGTGGTGTTTGCAAAACATGCAAGAAAGCCCTGATTTTTGAAAATCTTTTCGAGGAAAAGTGAAAAATGAAAGCAGCCAAAAACTGAAGCATTTACAAGCATCTGAATAAGGCCCTTTCGGATTTATTTTGAGTATGTATATTAAACCCCTTCATTCTCAGGTAAAAGGTTAAGAGGCTGAGAGATATATCGTCTGCTTGGGTGAGGATACTGGAGGTTGGCAGTGTCAGCATCGCAAGAGTGCTCTATCAGAGGAGGAGGAGGTAGGAGCTGGGCATAACTGGACCATCTCGATCCAGCCCGTGGGGAATCCAGAGGGGGAAAGAAATACCTGAAACAATTAAGACAGGAACAAAACACCAAAACAAAAAACAAAAAAGAAACAGAAGAAAAAGAGAAAAGTAGTAAAAAAAAAAAAAAAAAAAAGGGAAAAAAAAAAAGGAGAAAAAAAAAAAAAAGCTTTAGTATATCCATGCCAAAACCAATGAAACGTAACCGCAGAAATCAAGGCACTCATTCAAAACAAGATTGATTGAACAAGTCTGGAAACTGTTCTTTAAAGAAAAAAAGTATACTCTTTTCCACTGAAAGCCTCATAAAAAAGAATATTGTAAATACATTCCTAATATGCATTTTACAAAGAAACAAGTTACTTTGTAAATTAAAAGGATTTTCTAACACAGCTATCAACATCTTTGATGCACACGGTTCTCCTAGAATTCATGCAACTTATTAACAGAGACTTTAATAATGCTTCATTTGCAACACCACGCAGACATTAAATATTATGCAAGTACACATGCTGCATTTGCATCCAACTCAGATCAATTTTACTGCAAGTTTCTAGAAGAGATGTAAAAACATGAGATTGTTTTTACAATACTTAGATATCACAATATACATTTACAAGGAAGGACTACTCTTTTAAATTAAATACAATCTTTGTATGTATTTACATATTTCTGCAGAAATCTCAGAACAAGCTAAAGATTTCTGATCAACACAATGCTCAGAGAATGCCATTTCATGTCATTTTGCCAACTTCTATTATGACTTACCCGTAACATTTATGCACTTTAATATAACTATTAAAATATTTGGAGACATTATCTGTCTTGTTTTTTGCTCTGAGAATATTTACAGAATGGCGTGGCCAAGTAATTAATAAATCCTGGGACAATCCACATTTAAAGATGCATGTTGATCTGAATTTAGGTGTTTCCTAGATTACTGTAAGTTTCAGAATGTTGTGCTCAGAGGGAATCATAATTACTCTCTGGAATCACACCACAGCAACATACAAACACATTATCAGAAAAAAGTATTTTTAGTGAGCCTGAAGAAAGTATGACAGCATTTACAAAACATTTCTTTGAAGTAGTTCGAATTTATAAATGAAGCAACGCCACACTAAATTAAGCTATTATCTGTACAGTTGTCAAATCAGACTGTTCTCTTATTCCTTTTAGACTAAACAGTTTCAGTATATTACAAAGTAATTACAAAGCTGTAATGTTTAGGAATCAATTATATATTTGAATACTACAAAATGTAAAACAAAATCAACACTCAAAACAATTTTAATGAAAATTAACTGACTTTAATGGTCATTAAGCAGTCTTTTCCCTCCTCACACCCCAGCTAAGGACAACAAATCCTCTTAACCCATATACTAGTCCATTAGTTTCATGAGCTTTCCAGGGCGGGGAGTCGGGGTGGGGGGGGGGAACCTATTTTGGTGGAAATCTGTCTCAACAAGAACCCTCTCCAATTATCTTTCTTTCAGAAGTTCCAACAGTGTCAAACTGCAATGGCTAGTACAAAAAGGTATACAGTGTATTTTTAAAAAGGCCTTTTGAATTGCGTTTAGTAGTTATCAAGCTGCTGGTGTCTTGGGAGAGGTCAAACGGCGTTGGGGAGGGGAAAAAGAAGTTCTCTTTCCATTCCTGTGTGCATGCAACAAGCAGCAAAACAGCAAAGTTACTCCAGTTAGGTTGATATCAGCTCTGTTTTCTGTTAAAAAGGACATAATACAAATGGAGAAGGAAAAATGCATCACAAATCTAGGCACATGTGGTTATCAGCACAATAAGAACACAGCACTACTGAGTGTGGGTTTTCTAGTAATTTATTTTCATGTTTCAAATCATTCCAAAACTATTTTTATCACTAACCCACAGTTTGGAAAGCATAAGTGGTATGATGTACTTATTCTGATAAATTTGATTTTCCAAAGATTGAAATCTTATTATAGTTTAACTGCCCCTTAGTTATAGTTAAACTGCATTTAAATGTACAATGCATTGAAAGTCAGAGCCTAGAGACAGCCTAAAAGCAATCTAATGGTGGTCCAATCCAATTTGGTCAATAGTTAATATATGCTTTGTTTTTATTAAACTTAAAATCCACTAAAGCACATTATAGATATGATTTTTACACTAACTTTCAACCCAATGTAGTTACAAAGCAAAATAGGTAGGTAAATACTTTCTCACACAGTAAGGCTCTATCATAAAGGACAGGACCCAGTATAGTCAGAGATTCCATGGCCGTAGACGTCACAGTGGAATTCACCCCTGCTGCAGAATTGTGAACAAGAATCTTACATTTCTCTTTTTTTTTTTAAATGTTTCTAGTCCTTAGAATTGTGGAGATAACCTTGGAAACATACACCAATGAAGTGGTGGCTGCCCGAGTCTGCCGAGAGCCTGAAACAATAGCTCTAAGAGGTGTAAACTGTCCCATCCATCACAGTCAGGGCCCTGTGGAGTCTACAATTCCACAACTGTAGAATACAGCATTTTTGCAAGATGATATAGAGTTCAACATTTTTGCTGCAACCAGCTGACTTTTGTCTTCCTGTCCTCCTGGGATTTGGTCTGCAGCTGCCTCTTGGCTCTCTAGCTTTCCCCACAAAGGAGAGTTAATTAGATTATAGTGCATGATCCCTGCACTGTTCCATTGAGGGCCAGAGCTGGAGTTCAGCTTACAGCCAAGAGAAGGAGGAGCCAGAAGCACAGGCTGGCCAGCTGGGCTGCCGGGATAGCAGAGTAGCAGCCGACACTTGGGAAATCAGGGAGATAACCTGCTGAAGCCAGCTACAAGCTTCCCCCTTCCCTAGTACACACAAGGGAAGGAGCTTCTGAGCTGGGCCTCCTGGACAACATCACGGGAGCCAAGGCTTGGGTTGTGGAGCCAGGCCACCTGGAGAGCATAGGAAAGATACCCATCCTCAAAAATAATCGCCATAAAAATAATCACTGAATTTTATGTGAATGAATATTTTGAACTATGAACCACAGTTGCATTTGCCTAAGAATGGAAATGAAGGATATTTCACAGTGATAGTATAAAATAATGTTTGCTGCAGAATTTGGAAAATTCTGCTGTGGAATTTGGTCCCATTGTGCTGCAGAGTACACAGAGCCCTGAAAAAGGGTACCTGCTATATGCTGGAATCTATGATTGCCTTACAAATGCAAAATTAAATAATTTAGTAAGCACTTTTCTAAATGTTAGTATAACAGGAAAAACCACTAGTACAATAATAAAAAACATAAGCATTACCACCAGACCTAAAAACCATAAAAGAGACATCAGAATTGAGTGAAACTAAGAGTGAAGTAGGTACACAAAAGATACACTCTAGAATTTTTGAATACACTATGTATAAATTAGCCTACCTGCCAGCAGCTGATCCATTTAATGAATTCTGTAGGCTTGTATTGGCTGAACCTAGAGAAGCATTAAACATTCCCTGCTGAGAACTACCATTGACTGGACTCCCGTTACCTTTCAGTATACCAGTGCACTTCCAGTTGTCCATGTAATTAGCTGCAAAATCATCAAAAAAAACAAAACAGTTTTCATTTCCATCCCTAATCTCCAAGAACATTTGATAAGGTTACAACATTTTGGACAGATTCTCAGCTGGTGTAAGTCGGTGAAGTACCACTGAAGTCAGAGGAGCTATATCAATTTAAGACAGCTGAGGATCTAGCTCTTTAACTGTTTGACATTCTCTTTCCACACTATTTTTTTCAATTTCCTCTTTATTAAGCTTGAAAACGTCACTATTCAGTAAATCAGTAAAATACAAGTGGTAAAGTTCAACCTTCCTGTAAGTAATTACATACAAAAATGTTAGTACTGATAAAATTACAAAGTATTAGTTGGACATGTTAAAGATTAAGTATCTATATCGTTCCCTGAGCAGGATCTGGGGAATATAGATTTTTCACTCTTCTGCCATCAGGTGAAGACAGCAACAGAAATTGTAACTTTGATATTGTAGAGTTTTGTATACATCTCACATTTATTATTTATGACTGCAGTAGACATGTTCATGAGATAAAAGGTCACATTAACTTGTACTACTTTAGTTAGAACAAACTGAACAATTCAGAAGACAAGTTCTGTTGGCTATTACCATATTATAAATCAAACAAAGCAAGTGCTCTCTGAGGTCCAGCAAATAAAAGATTTTCTTTTCTTTTCCAAATGCACGCAGCAATAGAAAGTCTTACGGTCCACAAACCAATTCAAAGAAACTTGCATTCCAGAACCAATTAAGTTTTCCCATAGGTACAGGTCAATCTTTAATCTTTCAACATTTGACAAAGCAATCTAAAATACCTTAATGTGTGCCCTACAGAACTCTTACCTTTCCATAGTCTAACACAGCCATCATCACCAGATGATGCAAGCACTGTGCCTGTAATGTTCCAGCTTACTCGCCAGACCTGGGAATTGTGATTATCAAACTGAGCTACTATCTGAATTTCAAATTTTGTTAGTCCTCCAGAAGAAGTCAATTCTTTCCTGTTAAGAAAAAAAAGCAGGTAAAAATTCTACATGCATCTGTATTTTAAGACAATAAACACTACTAATTCTGACCAAAGAAAATACAAATGGTCTTGAATGTGCAACAAAAGGGAGCTAGGTTTTCCAAGGTTTGTGACAATATTTTCCTTGAACAAGTAATAGTAAATGATGTTGAAAGAAAATTTTGTTGTGCTAGTTCATTGGTTGCCTTTAATAGACTGCTAAGAGCAACTCTTTCTGGATAGGCTTAAGTATTAAGTACTGATAATGCTTTGTTTTATCTCTTGAGCATATTAGCATAAGACTACACAACTATATACTTTCTTGTTAAGAAATCTGGTTCAAAAGCTCACCTTACAGGTTTCAGTGTGAAAATTCGTACATCTTTGGTAGCTACAGCTAAAATATGGAAGGATCTTCCCAGGTTCGGAGCAAATGCAATATCATGTACAGGATCAGTGACTGTCATAAGAGTTTCTGCTTTTGCATACTTCCTGAGGAGCAACAGACAGGTTATTCATTTGATGAGTGCTGACAACATAGCCACTGATGCAAACATGGAGCAGACAGAGGGAATTACTGTTCAGAGAAGGGTCCAGCAATCAAATATAAATTAAAAATAAGAATCATTAATGTTATAGTTACAAATTAATTTCTTTTAATTTGTGTAATCTGTGTTCAACAACTGGCTTCTGTCTGCCTCATTCGCTATATAATGAGCATCTTTTGTACTAGGGCCAAATTCTGCTTTATCAGAGTAAGTGATATTAGATTTGCTCTACTGTCACTGCAGACAGAATCTGGCCCAGAATGAGGTATGAATCCTCAGGATTCTCCTGTCTCATGCACTATTCAACAGGCACACTGAATGAGGCAGGATTCTAATATGTGATCTCATAATTAAATAGTTTATCATAAAATTAAGGTTTCACATGTACATCTGTGCATTTTCATACTGGAGTGACTAATTTAACAAATCTAATGCTTTCTTAATAGCTTTCAAAGAATGCTGATGATTCACAGGATTTTCTACCATCAACTGTATCAACCTTGGCCCCAATCCTGCTAAGAGTTATGTATCTGCTTAACTTTAAGCACCTTAAGTAAATCTTTGCAGGACTGGGGCCTCAGATCTCTGCGTGAAAATCCTAGTGACACTCATGGGGTTTTTGTGTTCGGAATGGCAGCACTAGCCGTGGTCCATGACCATGATGTGCAACATCAGCCAACATTCTGAGATTCTTCTCCTTCTACCCATTCCATGATACAGGAATATATGCAGCAACTACAATGATGCAGTATTTCAAACTTCTCACAATTTACATGTTTTATTACTCAAAAATATATTTTGTACTTCTATCCATACACAATAGTGAGAATTATTTAATCACTATGTTGTTATAAACCAGCAAATAGCCATTCTAAACCCATTATAAAGATTATACAGTACAACCTCAGAGTTACGAACACCTCGGGAATGGAGGCTGTTCATAACTGTGTTGTAACTCTGAACAAAGCGTTATGGTCATTCTTTCAAAAGTTTATAACTGAACATTAACTTAATACAGCTTTGAAACTTTACTATGCAGAAGAAAAATGCTTTCCATTTTATTAGTTTACATTTAACAGTACTGTATTTGCTTTTTTTTTTTTTGGTTTCTACTGCTGCCTGATTGTGTATGTCTGGTTCCAAACAACATGTGTAGTTGACTGGTCAGTCCGTAACTCTGGTATTCATAACTCTGAAATTCTACTGTACTGGTTAATTCCTTAGTTTACCTGGTATTTTCATTGTATTCATAAATTTGAACCTTAGCCAGTATATTTGGACTGTTGTCATCACTTCCTACAGCTATCATCGGAGAATGAGCTCGAGAGCTACAAGTGAAAAATAAGTGCCATTACATTTACAAATTACTATCATGCATAACACCAGTTAAAATAGTTTAAGTATTACAGATTAAAAAAATTAAAAATGTTAATTAGATTGCAAAGTCAAGCACTCAAAAGTTAAGAAATGGCAGATTTTCAGCTGGCTGTGCAACCATAATTCTGGCCCCTAGAATGACCATCCTCCTCAGTGAATGAGACTAGGGCCCAGTGGAAAAAGCAGCATGTAACTGAAGACTATCATTTAATGCAGCAGTGGGCAAACTTTTTGGCCCGAGGGCCACATTGGGGTTGCAAAACTGTATGGAGGGCCAGGTAGGGAAGGCTGTGCCCCCCCAAACAGCCTCCCCCCCCCCACTTCCCATCCCCTGACTGCCCCCCTCAGAACCACCCCCCGCTCATTGTCCCCTGACATCCCCCTCCTGGGACCCCCCAACCCTAACTGCTCTGCTGGGACCCCACCCCATCTAACCCCCCCGCTCCATGTCCCCTGACTGCCCCATCCCCTATTCACACCCCCGCCCCCGACACGCCCCCCCGGGACTCCCACACTTATCCAACCCGCCCCTGTTCCCCATCCCCTGACCACCCGCCCCCTCCCCCCCAGAACCTCTGCCCCATCCAACCCCCCTGCTCCCTGTCCCTGACTGCCCCCCAGGACACCCTGCCCCTTACCCAATCCCCTGGCCCCCTTACCATGCCGCTCAGAGCAGCATGTCTGGCAGCCGCGCCGTTCAGCTGGAGCCAGACACGCTGCCGCGCTGCCCTGCAGCAGCTTGCAGTCCCACCGCCCAGAGTGCTGCCCGCGCAGCAGCGTGGCTGCGGGGGAGGGACCGGGGGCTAGCCTCCTCGGACGGGAGCTCAAGGGCCAGGCAGAATGGTCCCACAGGCCGGATGTGGCCCACGGGCCGTAGTTTGCGCACCTCTGATATAATGCATACACACATGGCGATAGAATTGGAGTTGTAATCATAAATTGGGCATTTCCTAACTTGCAAGTGTTTGTCTTTGCAACCTAAATAACATTTTTAACTACTAATTTGATGTGTAATTTCTTAGGGTTTTGAATTTGTTTTTAAGTAAAGTAAAAGATAAAATAAACTTTGTGTAACTTTAACAACTTCCACCTCACATAATGACTCAGGAGTGTTTGAACCTGAACCTTCAGTACTGAAGCACAGATTACTACTATGTGAGCTACACAGCTAAACATATTAGCTGGCTCCAGAAGAAGGCTATTTTCCCAAAAGAAGGGGTGGGTTACCAGGTCTAGAGGTGAAAAATCCAAGGAAGTGTAGCCCTGTCTGGCTCCTCCTACCCCAATCCCTGGTGTTAAGGGGAACTCTTGTCCCAAGTGTTTCCCCACCAGAGAGGAGACTGGTGTCATGCACTGGATCTAGGGGTAGCCTGGTAGGGACCATCCTGTCTCTCACTCCATCCCTCCCCAAGAGATGGAGGAGCGCTTGCCCCATGGAGCTATGTAGGGTTTACAGAGTGAGCCCAGACCACCTCTCTTTTAAGTCCCCTCTCCTTCCCCAAAGGCCACTTTGACAGGTCACTGGGTATTCCCTGTTCAGCATGTGTTACTACTTTAACAGCGGCATCAGCCTGGCCTCATAATGTTCAGTGACTTGGGCAGTCTTGTAACATTTTCCTGAATACAAGTGACAGAAAGGAAATGGCAATATTTAACACTATCTCTCAGGCAAATCTGAATGCTGTTTCATGAAACAAAGAAAAGAAACTTCTGTAGCCCAAAGAGATTCCTCCTGTTAAATATCAAAGGCCTGCTGAAAACAACAGAGGAGAGCTTCTCAAAGAAAGGTCTCAAGAATCCTTTATAACAAAGTTAGGCAAACTTAATGTAGACATCACTACTCCCCCACCCCCACAATTAGCATTCATTCTCAAACTCTCACTTATGATTTGATCCAACCAAACTAGGTCAAAGTTTTTAGTAAAGTTTTCTTCTAGACCTGACAAAATCTTTTGGATGTTTACTGCATTAATAAGTTTTAGACAAACTAATCTTTGGACTTTTCTTCCATTCATTCTTTAAACCTGTCTAAATGATGCTTTATAACTTACCTTGATGGATTCCAAGAAATGCAACTGCAGCTTAGCTTACATGAGATTTCATGCTGCAGTGACCACTGACTGAGATTCATAACATCAGGAGCTTCATATATCCTCACTACTCCATCTGCCGAACAGGTTGCTAACATAAGACCCATATGCTTGGGAGCAAACTTCACATCTGTAACAGATGTCCTACTGTCTACCAGAGTGGTCCTTTTCACCTGCAAGTAAATGCAGTAATCATTGAAGAAAAAAAACGCTTCTGAGCTTCCATCAATTATTTAGTTACCAGTTTATGATGCAGTTGTGTGGCCATATAAATTGTCATGTACTAGTGCTCCAAGGTCTAAAGTTTCATCTTAAAAATCCCTAAGGGCTTGCCTACAGACACTTTCAGCACCAGTGTAACTATACTGGTTAAGAACCACATACAGTTAAATTAGTCCAATCTATTGTGGGCACAGTTATATTCATATAAAAGTGTTAATATTGATATAGCTTGATTAGGTAAGTTTACCAAAACCAGTTTCTAACCAAATAATTAAATCAGTGCACAAAATATGTATGTAGGCCAGCGAATAGCATCAAGCTCTAAGTTTGGAAACAATCTTGAAAATGTGGAACAAATGTGCACTGACAAGTATATTTGCCTGAATTTTTAGCCAACTTGAAACTATATGTCTGGGACATGTGAAATGCTCTGTTCATATAAATGGAGATGCTGACTGTGAGGCCTAATGATGATGTTTTCAAATATCAATATTGTTAACTATTTCACTGTTGATCATTTTAGAAGGAACATCAAGATAATATACTTCTTTGTTCTTGGTGATAGTTTCAGGTAGCTACAGGGGCCAATTTGTTAAGGTTTATTGGGATGAGAAATTTCAATCCCTTCCCCCCTATATAGAGTAATCATTCCTCTAGCCAAAAAAGTGAGTGCGCGAATGTGCACACAGAGATACATTTGTGCATGCACGCAGAGATACATTTCCTCACCTGTATCAAAGCCTGTTGCCTGTGCACTAAAAAAACCACCAAAATCAGCTTCCACACCTGTTTTTGGGTGCCAAAAGCCGTAAATATCCCCTGCGCAGAAGTCAAACCTTTAACTTTTCACCCACCCATGATATTTAGGATAATTATACATTTTGAATACCAAAATCTTTGCACGTTAAATTTGGTAACAGCCTAAAATGAGCTGAATATCAAAATAAAGGATACCATACTTATTGTTACATGGTGCACTGAGTGTGGGGGTAGGTGGGAGCAGTCGTACATAATTCTGGGATTCCTGCTGCATAGGAAGGGTCTAATGTGCAACACAGAACATTAGAATTTTGAGGTAAACATTTTTTCCTCAGTGGATATTTTTTGAACAGAGAGAGGGGATACCAAAGTAAAATGTATAATATAAAAAGGCTGCAAATTTAGAGGTATACTCATCACTCTATAATGAAGTTGAGAAAAGGAAACAGTTTAGCTTGATGTTAGGAAACACTTCTTAATATTGACATCTATTTGTCAGGTTGCATGCTGAAAACCATGCCAGTCATTTAAAACGAGCTTAGACAAAGCACAATCCTAAATTAACAAGGGCAATTGTCAAATAAATGACTATTATTTTATAGTAACAGAAAAGCTTCATGGAAAAGGACACTCTCTCTAGCTCTATTTGGGAGCAGAAAATGGGTTGAAGAAAAGAGAACTCTCACCAAGTTACCATAACTTGCAGTTTGGAACAATTTCTAATTTAGCCAAGTTCAGTCCTCTACAGGGTGGATAAAAATCAATGATTTAAAAAAAAAGAAAAAAACAATCAGATTTGTTTTATTTAAATAGGATTTTTTTGATAAAATGCTTTTTGAGGAAAAAACCTATCTAAAGATAGTTTTAATTAACATACATTACAGCTCAAAGATATCTTATCATGGAATAGGGATTATAAATTCTAATTCTATAGTATGAGACAATATATTCATGTAATGTTTAAGAAAAGTTTTGTAAATGAGTTCCAGTAGTTCATGGATTAGGGACCCAATATTATGGGGTTCCAGGGACTTCTGTATAGATTATTTAGGTTAATCTTTCTATCTACCCAATGGGACTCAGTGCTCAGTCTACAAAATACCATCAGAGATGCTTAGTTTTGCAGTTCTCAAACTGTGGATTTGTCTCTCCAGAGATAACATGCTTGTTAACAGCAAAAATGTAGATAGATTAGATAAATAGATTAGATAGGAGAAATAACAGACCTCAACCCTATTGCCCCTCTGCAAATTTGTGTACACAAAGTCAGTCCCTTACCTCTCTCTAAAAGTGCAAAGTTTCAAAAAGTTAAATGAATAGAAGATTGTTGGGGGCGGAATAGATCTGGACAAGGAGAAGTCTGGAGATAAATGTGAGAAGGGAGGGACAGGCAGTAGAAACAAAAGTGAAACTGTTTGAGCAGCATATTCCAGAAGTCTTGAGGTCTTTCTGAGTGTAGCCTTCATTGATTTGAGATCTACCATACCATTCTCTCACTAGAAGGGAAAACCTATAATGGCAGCAGGCCGTAAAAGAGACCCAGTTTGGGTCTCATCTCTCTCTGAATTGTGAAGAATATGTATTAAGGTTATAACAACCAACAAGAATGCACTTTTATGCAGAAATCCATGATTAAATCAAGTCTTCCTGAATAGTGACTGAAATCAAATCCACCCTGGTCCTCTATTTAATTCTGGAGTTTTAGCAGCTGAAATCTGTGGTCCTTAATACTGAACAATCAATAGATGAGGCATAAAATATAGAAGAATTAAAGTGTGTGTCAAAACTAACAATAATATTTCAAGTCTCACCCAGTGACTCTGCCCTCGAAGTTTATCATTCGACTCTCCCACTATTTCTTCCCATACTACAGCAGTTCTGTCAAAAGAACAGGAAGCCAGGACCTGTCCAAACTCAGGATGAGCCCATGTCACACGCCATACGGACCCACTGTGTGTCTGGGAAATAAAAAAACATTGCAGTCTGAAGAATGCGTATTTCACTTGGAATCATGGGAAATTTCAAGTTAATATCTTATTTTTAAGTAGTATCAAGTTTTCTAGAGAGGTAAGGAATTACAGCTGTAAAAGCAAAAAGTAACAAATCTAAAAGGCTTTTAAAGTACTTATTTGAAATGAATCCTCACTTATAAAGCTCAAAATTCTACATCACCTATATTACTTATTGAAAACCATGTTCAAAACTCCATAGTCACTGGAAAGATCAACTACAAGTTAACCAATAAAGTATATGGGTTTATTTCTCAAGTTTAGACATTACTACTACAACCCTAAATTTGGAGAAGTGGTTAAGAAGCTAAAGAATGTGTATTGACATAGAAATTAAAGCTATATTTTAAACTGCCATATGCTGCTGACATCGTCTCTGGCTTCATGGGCACTTCTCCAAAGTCCATAGGGAACACAGTTGATTTTCCTTCCTGCCTGCTGCTCCTTTTTCAAGTCTCTCTGTCTGCCTACTTCTTTTCCTAGAGGAAAAGGACTCCAGTTATACAAACTGCAGAACAACTCAAAAATTGACCACCACAGTTCTCTGGGGTAACTATGCAGATTGGCCTCATTGAGAAGCTCTTCTCAGAAAAAATTATGGAAAAGTCATGTCCTAATACTAGACCCCTTCAAATCCACGGATATCTGCTTTACATCTGCGGATACCCGCGGACCATTTTTGCAGATCAGATGCAGATACAAATTTTGTATCTCCACAGGGCTCTCTACCTATACAGTTGATTAAAATGACTTTTTGCCACTTTCATTTTCATGTCCCATAATGAGACTAGAACAGGGGTGGGCAAACTTTTTGGCCTGAGGGCCACATTTGGGTGGGGAAATTGCATGCAGGGCTGGGGTTGGGGTGTGGGAGGGAGTGTGGGGTGCAGGAAGGGGCTCAGGGCAGGGGGTTCGGATGCAGGAGGGGTGCAGGGTACGGCGGGGGGTGGGGCTCAGTAAAAATTAAGTTAATTTACACAACCAATAAAATAGTTTGAAGCAATGATAGAAAGTTATTATAAAGACTAGATACAGTAAATACCAGTTCCACCGTAATAAGCTTTGGTAGAATATTAAAAGAGCATAGCACCAATAAATTCCAATAATTTCAATACATGCCTCAGGAAGCATGGGCTGTGATGAATATGTAAATTTTGGCAAGAAAAGTTGTGTATCTTCCTTGACGCCATAATTTCAACATCTAGCAAAAAGTCTTTAGGGAAGCAGGTTGGGGTGCAGGAGGGGGTTGTGGTGCAGGGTGCAGGAGGGGTTCGGGGTGTGGGTTCTGGCCCAGCACTGCTTACCGTGAGCGGCTCCGGGATGGCAGCGGCGCACAGTGGGGCTAAGGCAGGCTCCCTGCCTGCCCTGGCCCCGCGCCGCTCCCGGAAGCAGCCGGCACCACGCCTCTGCGGCCCCTGGGGAGGGGGGCAGAGGGCACCGTGCACCCTCGCCTGCGAGTACTTCCCCCAAAGCTCCCATTGGCCACGGTTCCCCGTTCCCAGCCAATGGGACCTGCAGGGGGCAGAGCCCTCTGCCCCCCCCCGAAGGGCTGGAGCCCTCTGCCCCCGCCAAGGGCCACAGAGACATGGTGCCGGACACTTCCAAGTGCAGCATGGGCCCAGGGCAGGCAGGGAGCCTGCCTTAGCCCTGCTGCGCCAAAGGGTTGGAAATCCTGCGGGCTGGATCCAAAGCCCTGATGGGCTGGATCCGGCCCGCGGGCCGTAGTTTGCCCACCCCTGGACTGGAAAATAGTCCCAGTGATACACTGCAAAGTCTGAGCAACAATAACTAAAACTCTCTATTGTATTTCGTCTGACACTGCAAAGTCTGAGCAACAATAACTAAAACTCTCTATTGTATTTCGTCTGTTCTGGCTACTGAAGTTACTGTACATTTACTAAACATATCTGTAAATATGATGAAGTCTATAGTAAAAAAAAAAATCACTACAGCCTCTGCTCTTTAAACTTTGAGAAATGGGGTGAGACTGATGGACTTTTTAAAATGAGAATAACTGGATTTGCAGATTAGCAAAATGATAATCCAGGAGTTTCTACTGTACAAAACTATATGAGCCAGCAAATACTTCAGTAAAATTATTTACTGACAAAATACTGGGGAGTCCCTGGCATAATCATTCATAGTTATACTGAAATAATAATGCTTACCTTCCAGCTGGCAGTACAATGCCAATCCCCATTTTCACTTTTGTCCCAAACCTATTAAGAAACCAAAATGCAATCATATACTTTGTTGATCTAAGCCTTTTCTTCCTGCAAGAAATGGAAGGTAAGCAAAACTTACGAGACAATCCTCGCACACAGAGGCACAATCCACATATACCATGTAGTAACCTTTTCCCCCTGAAAACCCTGCCCCTTCCTACATACCCTTGCATCTACATGGAGGTAGTTTCAGGACTAGGTTGTAAGGTCAACTCATGCAAGCCATTTGAAAAACAGGAGCCTTATTTATTTTTGTATAAAAAAATGTATTAATAAAGGGACACATCCTGCTCACTTCATCTTAATCTGAGAATAGCATGAGAATTCAAAAAAATCTTAGTTTCACACCCTGTTACACTCAAGGTAAAAGCCTATAATTACTAAGATGTGAAATTATGACTTGCTTACATGTGTGTAAATTATATTATAAAGGTTATTACTGTAAGGCTACTTTGTGCAAAGAAAAATCCAGAATGTTCCACTGTATCCAAGCAGAAAGATAACTATAACTGGAAACAAAACATTAAAATGGTAAAAACTCAGCATTCCCAATACGGTGGCTGAAAGTTGTAGCTTAACATTGCTTATGTGAATAATTTTTCAACCCTTATGTAGTGATGTTCTTAAACAATTAAATATTATTTCAGTATATATACACCCAACCCAACAATTTTTAATAAAATACTTTTAAGATTAAAACTTTGATGCAACTGATGACCCCTCCCCCTTTGTGGGCCACTGTGGTCTAGTAAACAGGACATGAGGCTGAATGTTAAATTTCTTATTCCCCGCTCCTCTAACTTCAGTATGATCTTGAAAATATCACAACCTCTCTCTGCCTCAGTTACCCCACATGCAAAAAAAAAAAAAGATAATCCTTACCCACCTTTACTGTGTTTTCAAATAAACCATGGAGGTAGTTACTGGTTAGTGCAGAGTACACTGGATCTGGAATCTATTCCCAACTCTTCCTCTCATTCACTGTGTAATCTTAGGGTATGTCTACACTACCCACCAGATCGGCGGGTAGCAATCGATCTATCGGGGATCGATTTATCGCATGTAGTGTAGACACGATAAATCGATCCCTGATCGCTCTCCCGTTGATTGCTGAACTCCAGCTCAGAGAGAGGCGGAAGCAAAGTCGACGGGGGAGCCGCAGCAATTGACCCCGCGCCGTGAGGACGCAAGGTAAGTCGAACTAAGATACGTCGACTTCAGCTACGCTATTCTCGTAGCTGAAGTTGCGTATCTTAGGTCAATCCCCCACAGTGTAGACCAAGCCTTAGATAAATCATGTTGCCTCCAGGCTCCACTTTATGGCCCTCTGATGCGACCCTGGTTGTAACCAGTTTAGGACACAACCACAGTTACAAACAATTCCCTAGATTTGTACCCTATTTGTAAAGCAGACAGGACTAAAAAATTACCAATACATAACTTACAGGAGCACTGTGATACATAATGAATGTAAATCTTATCAAGGTTCTCTGATAAAAAGGTACTATTATAAATGGAAAGTAATATTATAGTGTTCACGCAATGAACTCTAGAGCTAAACCTTCTATTCTAAAGCATATTTTCCCCCTTTTAACAATCACCCATAACTTTCTAAAGCACATTTTCTCCAGGCGGAAATTAAACTTGTTCTCAGATCAAAGGTTATTTGTTTTTTAAATTTGAGGTAAATTGGTCAAGTTATTTTTTAGTTACAGGAAAGCAGCAAAAACATATGACTTCAAGACTTTGACCAGCATTCCATTAACTTTACATAACTTAAAAGCAACTCATACTATACATTTCCTATTTGCCATGATTTTAATCCTCACTGAGGGAGGAGAGAGCAAATTAAATATGAAAGAGTTGAGTAGTTTTTAAAGTGTGGGAATTATAAAAGTACCTGTCTGAGCATACATGATAGAACATTTAACTCATTATTTATGTTACCTCCGCTTAATTTTAAATCACAGTGCTATTAAATCTTCCAAACAATATAGAAAAGTTAAGTTTACTGTCACATCAGTCCTCTACAAGGAACCTGTTAACATTTTCTTTTCTTTAAAAAGGATAAAGTTAATGTTAGCTATATAAAAGAAAGACTGAAAAATCATGTATTTGCAAATCAGGAAATGTCAAAAGATGACAGTTCCAAAAAGCAATATGAACACAACATGCAAAATATTTTCTATTCTTGTTTTCTCTGCAAAATGTAAAACGTAGTCTTTTTATAGTGTATATTTTATGGTATGTAAATAAATATGTATCATTTATAATACATTAAGGCAAGGTAGAAAACCAGCAAACAGAATCAGAGTGCACTATGGTTAAACCTGGGCAGGAGAACCCTGAATATTTGGCATATCTCGACTTGTGTGTTTGATTTCTCAGTTTTAATGAGTTGTTAATTCCTACGTTTACTTATTAATTATAACAAAACTCGGACCCTCCTCACTGTGGCTTCCTCCTCACTGCCCTGGTAATAACCCAGTAAGGTGCTCGGACACTCCGTTTCTTTTGCCCGCGGACACTCACACCTGCTCTCTTCGAGGCTTTGACCAGTACTAAGGGCTCGCTAGTTACTCGGTGCCCGACACACGTGGCAGGGGCTAAAGGCTGCTGGCTGCCGCCCCCACCGTGGCTCTGAGGGAGCTACCAGAAGATGAACAAAACATTAACACTGGACACTTCCCCGCGGAGACCGCCGCGGGGCTTGGCGAGCAACAGGCCCGGCCCAGGGCGGCAGAGACGAGGAGAGGGGGGAGCTCTCACGGCACGGCCGGGCCTGGTGCAGGGCTCACGGGGCAGGCTGGACGTCGGTCAAAGCCGGCCGAGCCCAAGTCTTGCCGCCCCCACAAAAGGACGGAACTATTGTAACCCCCCAGCCCTGGGCCCCGCTTCCCGCCCCCCGCAGCGCCCGCCCCGGGACTGAGCGGCTGGGGCGTCCTGGCGCCCGGCAGGGACACAGCGGCGGGGCCCCAGCACCTTGACGCTCTGGTCGCTGGAGCAGGTCGCCATGCGCCGCCCGTGGAAGTCGAAGGAGACATCGTGGATGAGGTCGCGGTGATCGGCCGCGATGCTGCGCGCCACGAACATCTCCCAGCCTGGGCCGCCGCCGCCGCCGGCTCCGCTTCCCTCCGAGCGCGCCGCTACGGCTTCCCCCCGCGCGGGGCAACCGCGCCTCGCTCTCACCCCCGGGACAGAGCGAGGGTGGCTCGCGCGTGCATCTGCTCGGAGCGCGTGCGCACGAGGGAGCGTCCCTCGCGCTCCATCAGAGGGCGAGCCGAGGCGTCACGCGCAGCCCAGGGGAGGCTGTTTCCTAGCACCGTGGCCCCGCCTCCTACTGTGGTTGCGCGGGTCTTCTCTGGCGTGAGCCTTTCCCATATAAAAGCAGGTAGGAGGCCTTGTGGCACCTTACAGACTAACAAGTTTATTTGGACATAAGCTTTCGTGGGCTATAACCTGGAATGCAGGTAGGGTGGCATGCTCCAGTATGCAGCACCAGCAAGAGATTTTTAGCGGGTACGGGATACTGGAAAGACTTGGGGGGGCGGGGAGGGAGTAGAGCTGCACTCTGTTCCTTAAAGGAGAAGAACTAGGCTAGGGAGGGCATTCATTCTTTATATGGGTTTAACTGCACGGCACATATGCTAACAAACTTAAAGCCTTTGTTTAAGTTTGTTCGCATATGTAGTGTGCTGTTAAGTTGGTCAGGAGTCCTCAAGAGGGGAGGGGTGAGTGGGACGGAAGGTGTTTAAACAGTGTTTTTGATTCCTGCTCCAGCCTCGACTGTGAGCATTCTAACCAAGGGACTGAGAACTTTAAGGTAATCTGGAGCCTTCATATTTCCTTGATCCTCTGCAGATGAACTTATGAGTTGGATATGTAGAACAGAGACTGTTTTAGCCTCATTGCTTATTTCTTCCTTGCAATGGACAAAGATCAGATGTTTGCTGACTTTCTCACATGAGTCAGCAGCCTTTGCTTGAGTGGTTTTGTTCTTTCCTCTCCACATGTCAAAGCCTGTTCCCATTGAACTGAACAGCAAAACTTTTTTTTATTTCAATGGGAACAGGATTTGGCCCCAGGAGATCAGAGAATGTGATTTTTATCAATTGCTTATCTGTCCATAAACCAGTCTCATGCACATTCTGCCAGGCTGATTTTGATTGCCCCTCCTGTATGTCATGCTGAGGAAAATAATAAAACAATTTGGGCTGTAGTCCTATCAAGATGCACATGGTACACACAGTTCTATGCCTCTTTTCCATCAAACCCAGATGGCACAGCATCTTTGCTTTCCTAGTGCCTGGCGGAGAGCAATACTTAGGCCTTGTCTACACTGCCACTTTACAGCGCTGAAACTTTCTCACTCGGGGGGGAGGGGGGGTGAAAAAACTGGAGGAGGGAGTAGCTGGTAGCTACTCCCCTTGTGGGGGTGGGTTTTTTACAGCGCTGGGAGAGTCCCCCATCCTGTTATTATGACCTATATTCTTAGTTCCTATATATCTAGATTCACATTTAGCCATTTTAAAATGCATATTGTTCGCTTGCACCCAGTTTAACAAGCCATCCACACTGCTCTGAATCAGTGATATATCCTTTTCATTTTTTAATGCTTCTCCCAATTTTTGTGTAATCTGCAAACTTTATGGAGGAATGGAAGGAGCTCCTGGTGTGTGCAATAAGCTTGGACTAAATAAGCCACCAAGCATCCAGTCCCCTAGTTATACACCTCTACCCTGATATAACATGACCCAATATAACAGGAATTCTGATATAATGCGGTAAAGCAGTGCTCCGGGGGGGGGGGTAAGGCTGCGCACTCCGGAGGATCAAAGCAAGTTCGATATAACGCAGTTTCACCTATAACACGGTAAGATTTTTTGGCTCCCGAGGTCAGCGTTATATCGAGATAGAGGTGTAACTAGTAATTTTTCTAGCATGCTATATATTTAAACAACCTTTTTGATGATTCTGGACAAATGTACTGCTCCAAGTTTCTTATAGGGTCTTATAGGTCTCTGGTGAACCTGAAAAAGCCCACGCCCTTCCCCACAGAAATATCTTTATAAAAAAAAGATGTTAATGGATGTTGCTGATTGAGTTTCTCAACTGCACACAAACAAACCAATAGGTGTATAAAATTAGGAATGGATCACATAAAAGCACAAAGTAGTGAATATAAAATAATGTCTAACTGAATCTACTCTCATTCATTACTCAAAGTTAGATTAGAAAAAAAAAAGTATTACCATTCCTTTTTAGATAATACCAGGATAGAATTTCATGGGAAATCTGGGATGTTTTCCTGACAATACTGAAAGCTATACGTTTATCATCTTGTCTTCTGAACCAGGTGAATGTCACCCTTTGTGTTTTTATACAGGCCTATTTAAAACATTAAAAGGTAACTTACAATTTATATTTTATAAATATAATTAATGTGGATATTATATAACCATAGATGGCAGTAGGTGATTATTGACAAAATTCAATCTACAAAACATTCTGTTATGGCAATGCATATTTAATGTACCTATTACACAGGTTAAGAGGAATTCTCAGTGCATCAGTTTATAATTCACTTTTGTTTTCTCTTTAGGTTTCATATTGTCTGGCCGCTGTTGGACCACTGGCTTGATTCTGCTGTGACTCCTGTATGCTCTGTGATGGTGATTGTCACATAAGCCCATGTGCTCTAGTCTAGAGCATGAGATCAGACTCTAGGGCTAGACATAGACAGGGCTAAGTTGTGGCAGGTTTTAAAGGAAAGAACAAAGAACTTGCATTTGATGCAGAAGGTGAGAGGAAACAAGTGAAGGAATTTGCAGATGGGCTGAATGTGGTCAAAGCTATAGGTGAGGTAGATACATTATGCAGCTGAGTTTCGGATGGATTGGAGGAGTATGAAACAGAGAAAACAGAGAGGATGTGGGTACAAATGTCAAGAAGACACAAGATGATCAAAACATGGACAAGTGGTGGTGGTAGGAGAGGTGAGGAATGATCGGGTTTCTGACCTGTTTTGTAGAATAAGCCAGCATAAATTAGTGATAGTGACAATGTTGGGGGAGAAGGATAAAGTTTAAAACAGTTATACTAGGTTGTGAGCTAGAGGGGTAGGGAGAATGGTAACATTGTTGATAGTTATGGAGAATACAAGATAAGGGTTTTGGAAAAGAGATATATACTTCAGTTTTTGACATATTTACTCTGAGCTAGCAGCAGGATATTCAAGAGGAGATGTCTGAGGCCAGACCTATATTAAAAAGTTAAGTCAACCCAGCTACATTGCTCGTGAGTGAAAAATCCACACCTGGAGTGACGTAGTAAAATCGACCTAACCCCCGATATAGACAGTGGTAGGTCGATAGAAAAATTCTTACATCAAGCTAGCTACCAGCTCTTGGGGAGGTGGATTAACTGCAGCAACAGGAGAACCCCTCTTGTTGCTGTAGTGAGTGTCTACACTGAAACGCTACAGCAGTGCAGTTGCAGCACTGCAGCTGAGCCACAGTAGCGTTTTAAGTGTCGACATACTTTCAGACACTTTAAATTCCAAATCTGAATGCAGAGGAAGAAGTTGGGCAGAAAAAGATTTGCAAATCATTCTCATAGAAATTAGGTCAATTAATTTGAGTCTGCTTACTCCAAAGGGGAATTTGGCCCAAAGCCTGTGGGAATCAATTGCAGCAAGTTTGTGGAGGGTTTTGAAAAACAATAAGGTAATTTTGAACTGGATCCCAAAATGATTGAGGAGCTAATGAGAGCTACATTGCAAGAATCACTCTTCAAGGAGGACACCAGACTGATTTGCAGGGGTATAACCATCACATGCCATTGAAGGCACTTTACTTACTTCCAAGCATTTGTAAAAACTCTGGAGGTTAATTTATAGTAGGTTAAGTAAAAGGAATAAAATATATGAAAGCAAGTAAAGTTGTTAACACTTGGTGTTTCCAGTGCTGTAATTAAAAATTGTATTCATATTGTTTGTTGGGATGGTATAATAAAACCACAGACATTTGAAACACAAAGTGATTTTACTTTATAATGATACAGAAAAAATGTGATACAATACCCATGCCCTCATCTAGGACCATCCAGTCATTGCTAATCAGAAATAAAATAGTGTGTCCTTCCTTAAAATATGTTTATGGACATTTATATAATAAAATTTCAATTATTTATTGGTTCTTTCGAACATTTGTTGGTTAGTCATTTTTTGTGAGTAATAACGTTAATGCTGTTTATAAGTTCTCTAATTCACGGTAGTGTTTCTGAATGGGGTTTTTTTGTTTGCTTTTTGATGAAAGATGACTTTCTTGTACCATACTCTGTTGATTATAAAGAATAGTGCTTCATTTTTTCCAGAATTGTTTCCAGTCATACAGAGTGAGTCATCTGTCAAACAATCCATTCTTTTGCAGCTTGTATGATTCAGTGATTTAATCAAGGTTTAAAAATCTCAAAGAACTAGTGAATATATAATTTCTGTCAAATTTAAAATATAATGAACTTTTTAAGTCCAGAATATCAATATAATATATTTTTAAAGACCGATGGCCAGATTCTCAGCCCATGGAGTCTGCGGAGATAGGCCAGTTTACATCAGCTGAGGATCTGGCCCTGAAATCCAAAAATAGAAAGATCCTAGTTAATTAATTGTTAAACAGAAATGGACTCATAACTAATCTACGTGTATCTCCAGCTGCAGTTAAAAATGGCACTCTACCAGAACACTAGTTAATTCAGATGGCATTTGTGATGCACAGACTAGGAACAATGGGTTTTGATGCTGGGAACCCACCTCAGCACTGATAGAAAATGATCATACTGCCTAAGCAGTACTAAACTGGTCAGTTTAAAATTGATGATAAATAATCATAATAAAGTGAAACCTTATACCATGCCCACGTCTCTTCTAGTACCAGTGTTTTATTATAGGACATGAATGTAAAATGAGAGAGATCAAAAACTAGTTAAAAGATAGGAAACAAAGAGTAGGAATAAATGGTCAGTTTGCAGAGTGGAGAAAGGCAAATAGCAGGGTCCCCCAACAATCTATACTTGGACCAGTGCTGTTCAACATATTCATAAATTATCTGGAAAAGGGGGTAAACAGTGAGGTGACAAAGTCTGCAGATGATATAAATTGCTCAAAATAGTTAAGTCCAAAACTGACTGAGAAGAGTTACAAAGGGAGCTCACAAAACTGGGTGACTGGGCAACAAAATGGCAAATGAAATTCAGTGTTGATAA